CTTGCTGTAAATATTTGTTCATATTTTTGTGAATTCAATACTATGTACCATTGTATTATAGTAACTTTTATAAAGCAAACCATAAATATACTGACTTTTCTTACAGAAAAAAAAAAAAAGAAGCTACGCTGCAATTCTGATGGCTCGCGGTTTGAATCCACCAGCCGATCTACAGGAGAAGGTTTGACAATCTCCTTCCGTGTGATTAACTGTTTATGAAAATCCGCCGGAGGGTCAGCCCTGGGTCAGTTCTGACTCCATGGTACACAACAACCACATGAGTTATACGTCTCCATATCATCTAACAACCCAAAGTTCAGATTTACAAGGTAATGAAGTGGTCTAGGGTTCTTCAGGAGATGACGTTCTGTACAACTGACACTAAAATGCACTCCAGACCATGGCCAATGACCTAAGTGAAACACAATACTTACCTGGCCAGTGTAAATTCAGCAGCCACAGCTACAGCCTCTTCCAGGGCCTGCAGGGATCTGTTGAGCGGTTGCCAGGGATACCCCAGGGGGCGGTACTGGCGACTTGGTGGGCGGTGCTCGAGGGTAGGGCTCTGTGTTGGAGTTCCGGGGGCGGTGCTGGGGGCGGTGCGGGGCGGTGCCGAGCGGTGCGGGGAAGACGGGCAGTGCTCGGGCGATGCGGGGCAGTGCTGGGGCAGTGAGAGGGCAGTGCGAGGGCAGTGCGGAGGAGGGACGATACTGGGGCGGGGGAGGTGTTATGTTGTTATGTGCCATTATAGGACTCATAGCGACCCCTTTGTACAGCAGCTCTGAAGCCTACCTTCTCCTGAGCCAGTCTCACTGACTCTGACGCAATTAATTTCCAGGGTGGTGCGGCGTGTGTGTGGGCGGTGCCCGGGGCGGTGCTCAGGGGTGGTGCTGGGGGTGTGCTCGGGGCTTTGCTGGGGGGGCGGGACGGGAGAGGCGGTGTGGGGGCGGTGTTCAAGGGCGGTGCTCGGGGGCAGTGCTCAGGGGCAGTGCTGGAGGCCGTGCTCGGGGGCCGTGCTGGGGGCGGTGCTAGAGGCGGTGCTCCGGGTGGTGCTCCGGGCGGTGCTGGGACAGTGCTCAGGCACAGGTACCCTATCCACTGGGTGTCTGTGCAGTGACTGGGAAATCTCAAAGATCCAGACCCCACAGCTAAGGCTGCTACCAGCTGCTTCAGGTCCTTGAACACCACCCATGTCACTCTGTATGCTGCCATACACCTTTTCCATGACAGAGGTTTGTAGTTTTCTTCAGGGCTCTCCATGAGAAGCTCAAGCTCTTCAGGTGATAAATTCTGTACACCACTACCTCTTGCCCATCCTGGTCAGGGATGGACATTTTCCCTTGTCTTGCAGATGTTTTAACAGTTCTGCGTTGACCCTGGCAAGACCCAGAGCTGTCTCTGCCAGTCCCTCCGCCTTTTCTACCCGTTACAGAATATGATATTTAGGAGTTCCTCTGAACTGCCAACTGCTAGGCTGTGTCCTGTCACGGTGATGAGAGTGCTGGGATGAGGACTCCACTAGTCTGGTTCTTATAGAAACAGCAGCAGCATGTAGTCTCACTGTCACTGGGTGGGGAGAAGAGATTGGTGTCACTGAAGGACAATGTCTGGCTCTCAACCTTTCTTTTTAAAAATTTTATTAATTTTAATGAACATTTACAGAAATTTTGAATTTCCATTCATTCATTGTTGCATTTTTCTCCCTGCCAGCCCCTCGCTCCCCAGTTTGCTCTTCTCTTCGAAAAGTAAAATTTCTTCATTGAAATACACCCCCCCCTAACTATGCAACCTTCATTCTGGATTCTTGTCATAACCATAATACCCAATCATATATCCCTTTTAAACTGTTCTCTCCCTCATCTGTTTCAGGCTCTGAACCTTTCTGGGAAAAAAAAAAAAAAAAGATCCTGAAACTGAACTTAGCAAGTTTGATGAGCAGCACAGGTATCTTTAGATTTCATTTTTCATTGAGGGTCATTAGACGAACCTGGGCAGTGAGTTCTGTGAAGGAGGAGCATGCACACAGGAAAGGAAGGCCTGGTCCATGGCTACCTCCTTTCATCCTGCAGAAATTGCATTCTTCTGTTTGTACATCTCGTTACTCATGTTACTTACCTCTCACTGAAGGAAGATGCCTGCAAAGACTTTTCTTTTTTATTTCTCTTCTTTTAAAAAATTTATTATTAATTTCAGTAAAAATTTACTGAGACTTTGGATTTCCATTCATTCATTATTGCATTTCCCCCCCCTTCCAACCCTCCCCCCTAGTACACTACCCTCTTGTAAAAGTAAAACAAAAATTCTTTCATTTTACAAACCCTCCCCCAGGTCCACTCCACCATGTAGCCTTCACTCTAGACACCTGTCGTAACAAAACTACCTAATCACATATCCATTTTAAACAGTTTTCTCCCTCATCTGTTTCAATGCAGTATACATTATTGAGCCCATCTTTCTTAGTCTCCCCCCAACCCCGATGTCAGTCCTGTTTTACAACAGTGGAACCCTGCAGTATTTGTCCTTTTGTGACTGAAATTCTTCACTCAGCATAATGTCCTCCAGGATCACCCATTTTGAATAATACTGCATGAGTTCCTTGTTTTTCAATGCAGCATAGTATTCCATTGTGTGAATATACCACAGCTTCTCTATCCATTCATTTGTTGATGGGCACTTAGGTTGTTTCCAACTCCTTGCTATTGTGAACAAAGCCGCAATAAACATAGGTGTGCATATATCTGCCTGGGTGGCATATTCCCAGTAGTGGAATTGCTGGGTCAAATGGTATCTCTATTTGCAACTTTTTGAGAAAGCGCCATACTGCTTTCCACAGTGGTTGCACCATTTTACACTCCCACCAACAGTGAATAAGGGTTCCAGTTTCTCCACAACCTCCCCAGCATTTGTTGCTTGCTGTTCTGTTAAATTTTGCTATTCTGTCTGGGGTGAGTTGATATCTCATAGTTGTTTTGATTCGCATCTCTCTTAGAGCTGGGGATTTTGAACATTTCTTTTTTTCTCTTTTTTTTTGGGGGGGGATTTTGAACATTTCTTGATGTGCTTGTTAGCCGTCTGAATGTCTTCTTCGGTGAAGCAAAGCCTTTTCTGAGGACATGATTTCAAACGGTAGAAAGATTTCCTCTTATAATCAAACATGGAAACTCTCAGCTCCCAACTACCACTACTAGTCAAGGAACAGAGAAAAATCTTAAAAGGACCTGCCTGCACCCGAAAAGTCATAAGGCTCTTTGGATAAAATTTCAGTGTTCACCCACATCAAATACAAGAAACTATTTTAACCCAGGGCTGTCTGTAATGGTCTTTCTACTACAGTACATATTGCAACTTATTTTCAGAATTTGCAAATTAGTTAATGTTATGTGTAATATGTGGCAAAATAAAAGAAAATAAAATTCCAGCCTTAGGTGAACGCCCCCCCCCTTTTAATTCCTTTTATCACGCTGTTATTATGTACTATGGAATCAGAACTGACTCATACCTGACAGGAGATTGTAAGTTGAATAGAAGATTGCCCATCTTTCTCCCTCAGAGCAGCAGGTGGGTGCTAAAAGTCTGCCTTCAGGTTTAAATCACAACTCCTTATCGCTAGTTGCTAGTTCGTCAGAGCTCTCTAATTTTTTGTAATTTGCCTTTTGTTGACTCTCATGAGGGAGTGGGGGAACCCCCCAAAAAACAAATACAACCCACAGAAATTTAGTGAAGGACAATAATAGGGCAGGCGAAATAACTACAGAACAGAATTATTCTGCAAATCGGAGAATCTGCTTCAAAAGAAGTAATCCAATCCAAATTTGCCTGCTTTACAAAACAGCGAACAGAAAAAGTAAGTTGGTGTTAGGTGCTTTTGAGGTGAAAACGACTTATACCGACCCTGTGAACTACAGGGTATAGGAAACTTGCCTTATGCTATGCCATCTTCAACATCATTGATAAACTTGAGCCTATTATTACAGTAGGAGCTCTGGTGAGAGAAAATCCATGCAATTCACTGCCTCTAAAAATCTGCTAGGTTTGGTTCCGACTAGATTGTTGTTGTTAAGTACCATTGAGTGGAGTATGATTTATAACGAAGATCAGAAATCTGTCCCATCCTGTTATCATCCCTGACACATTTGAACCCTTTGCAGCAATACATCTCATTGGGGGATCTTCCTCTCTCTCTCTGATCCTCGACCTCTCCAAACAGGATGCCCCTTTCTTAGGAATAACCTCCCCTAACAACATGCCCAAAGTAAATGGGACGAAACTTCCTCATTTTTGCTTCCAAGGAATTCTCCGGTTGCTTTTTCTCCAAGACTTTGCTCTTTGTTCTCTTGGCAGTCGTTGGGATATTCAGCTCTTCTCCAGCACCACAACTCAAATTTTGTCAATTTTGTTCTTTGTTCAGAAGCTTGGCAGGTGATTGAAAAGACTGAGATTTGAATCAGAGGCACCTCAGTCTTTAATCCGACATCATTGCTTTTCAGGACTCGGTAAAGATTTGTGACTTGCCCAGTGTATCGACTCAATGATACAGAACCACACTATAGGAGTCACTATGTCAGTTTATTTTACTGACTTTCATCAGTCCTCCACCTTTCCAAGCATGGGATCTTTATCCAAGGACTTAGCCCCTCCTAACATGTCCAAAATATATGAGCTAAAGTTTCACCATCTTTGCCATCAACAAGTATCCTTGATGCACTTTCTCGAACATGTAGTTGTTTGTTCATTTGGCGGTACAGGAACCAACTAATCCAGTGATTTCCTCCCTAAATTACCACAGTTTATCTCTTGCCCTCACCAAAGATGGCAGCTTTCGCTTCCTGCCTTGGTTGCACGCATGCTCCGGAAGCCTCGCCTGGGCCTCTCTATGGTCTATTTTCCAGTCCCGCTCCCAGCTGTTACTGGGGCGGACCTTCCCTGGGGGTGTGCAAGGACCCGGAAATACCTGAGTTGAAGCTCGGTATTTAAGGCTGTGCTGTGCAAGTGGTAGTTCACCTGATTGGACCCAACGTCCATGGGCTGAGGGTTTTTCTCTCCGGTTTTCTGGAACACGGCCTGCGCCCCGCTGTGGGGTCCCCGATTGCTCGAGGCCATGCCCGTGGCTGCTGCTCCCATCATCAGCTCGGTCCAGAAGCTGGTTCTGTACGAGACCAGAGCTGTGAGTACCCGGCACTGCGCGGCTCTACATAGCACTGGCGGGAGCAGCCCCCCAATTCCCTGTTCTCCTCCGTGGGGGGAAGTTGGTCGTCCTACGCTGTGTCTTGACGTCTTCGCCCTGGACGCACCCAGGCCACTGTTGCATTCGCTTGTATATTACAAGTCACGTCTGAAAACAGATACTTCTTACTTCAGAAACTGCGCAAGAGAATTCTTTACGAGTTGTTGGACGCTTCTCAGCTTTCCAAAAGTCTGTTAGAGTTCTGTAGTTAGGTAGCTACTGTAGAGATAAATATAAGAGTGGGGGAAAGTTACCGATCATGAGTTAATGTTTTTTTCCTATTCCATGGAATATCGTCGCTTTGATTACTATCAGATGCACTTTTATTGCTGAAAAATTTGGTTTTCTTATTTGAAGGAAAAGAAAAACTCCTCCTTTTTAAATTGCTTAATAACAGCTAATTTGGACAAAATTATCTTCACTTTTCCCCCAGCAAATTTTAGTTATTTCATAGCTTCAGATGACTGCATAAACAGAAACATTTTTACATATTTAATTAAGAGTACAAAAATGTACGGAATTGGAAATAAATTTGACACAGTACATCTTTTCTAAATGGAAGTCCCACAATAATATTATATTGTCGCCTTGATGACCAAAAAAGTGCATATTCTGAAATTTGCCTAACACTCTTCGTAATGCTATAAAATGTCTTGTGTTGCATCTAGATGAAACTTGAGTTGTCTCCATTACGGGGGTACAACAAAGTGATCAATGGTTTTTCAGTTAAAAACAAGCCCATTGTTGTTGTTAGGTGCCATGTAGTCTGTTACCTCTCTAGATACCTTGAGTACAACAGAATGAAACATGGCCTATTTTGTATCATGTTCACAATCTCTGATTGCTTAAACCTCTTGTTTCAACCACTCTGTAAATCTATTGCCTGAGATTTCCCCCTTTTTTTACTGACCCTTTGCTTTACCAAACATGATACCCTTTTTCTAGGGACTGGCCTCTCCTAATAACATTTCCCAGATTCATGTGACAGATTCTCACCATCCTTACTTATAAGGAGTATTCTTCCAAAACTGATTTGCTTTTCTGGCAGTCCATTGTATATTCAGTATTCCTCACCAACTCAATAACTAAAAGGCATCAATACATTTTTGGTTTTTAAAAGTCACTGCCCACTTTCCATATGTATCTGAGGTGATTGAATCATGATTTGGATCAGGCACACTATAGTCCTCAAAGTGACATCTTCATTCTATGGAACACTGTAAAGAAATCTTTTGCAGCTGATTTTCACAATGCAATGTATGGTTTGATTTCTTGACTGCTACTTCCATGGTATTGATTGTGGATCCAATGAAAATTAAATCTTTGGCAGCATCAAACTTTTCTCCATCATCTGTCATATTATTTATTGATACAGTTGTGAGCATTTTTTTCTTTATGTTGGTGTGTAATCCATACTAAAGACTATATAGTCTTTGATCTTCATTAGTAAATGCTTCAAGTCTTCTTCACTCTTAACTAGCCAGGTTGCACCATCTGGTATCATGAGTTGTTAGTGAGTCATCTTCTAGCCTTGTGCAACATTCTTCATATATTTCAACTTCTCAGATTATTTACTCAGCATACAGATTGAATAAGTACTTTTTTTCCCCTTGACACCTTTCTTCATTTTAACTGTACAGTATCCTCTTGTTAGATTCGTAAAGGCTGTCATTGGTTTACATAAGCTAGATCTTGACTGAAAGTAGAAAATACCAGAAAGCTATTGTTTATGTTTTATTGACTATGCAAGGGCATTTGACTGTGGATCATAACAAATTATGGATGAGATTATGAAGTGTGAGAATTCCAGGACACTTAGTTGTGCACATATGGAACCTATACATTGGGTTTACCTCATGGCAACCCCAGTGTTACAAAGGATTATTTTTGCATTAATCTTTTCAAAGAACCAAGTTTTAACTTTACTAGTTTCTTGACTGTTCACTTTCACTTTCATAGAATTTTACTCTGGTTTATTATTTATTTTTACATATTCTGGATGTAGTAAATTTATTTTCTAGCTTCATGAAATAGACATTTAGGTCATTGAATTATTTTTTTTCATTTCTAATAAATATTTAAAACTACAATTGTAAACCTGGAAATAATCTTTTGATTGGCTAAAGAAAGGGAAAGTATTATTAGCTTGAATGACAGGAAACCAATATATCTTTACATGCAAAAATATTTTGTAACTTACATGAAAAAGAAAAAAATCAATAAAGACAAGGACATGAGTAAATAATTCACCAAAAATAAAGTATATATGAAAGAATATTAAACTTGCTAATATCTAAAGCTGTAAATTATCAGAGTGGCAATGATTGGAGAGATTGGACAAACCTATTATAATCTTTGCAGATCACAGTAAATTATGGCTGACCTTGAGGAAAATGGAAATTCCAGAACATTTGATTGTGCTTATGAGAAAACTATACTTGGATCAGGAAGCAGTCCTCAGAACTGAGCAAGGAGATACTACATGGTTCAAAATCAGGAAACAAGTGCATCAGGGCTGCATCCTATATCTATACATTTTCAATCTTTATGCAGAACAGATCATGCAGGATGCAGAGCTTTATGAGGAGGAATGGGGCATCAGGATTGGAGGAAGACTCATCAACAACCTACATTATGCTGATGATACAACCTTGCCTGCTGAAACTGAGGACCTGAAGTGCTTCCTGCAGAAGGTCAAGGACTGTAGTCTTCAAAATGGATTGAAGCTCAACATCGAGAAGACAAAGATTCTTACCACTGGGCCAAATGGTAGTACCTTGCACGATGGCTGGAGAAGAGATTGAAGTTGTTGAACAGTTACAGCTTGCTCGGCTCTATAATCAACACCCTTGGCACCAGTAGACAGGAAACCAAAAGACGAATTGCATTAGGTAAATCTACCATCAGGGACCTTTCAGAGTACTGAGAAGCAGTGATATCAGTCTAGAGATTAAGGTGCGCCTAATCAGGGCCACAGTCTTCACAATTACTTGCTTTGCATCAGAGAGCTGGGTAATGACTAAGGATGAGAGAAGAAGAATTGATGCTTTCGAGCAGCTGTGCTGAAGAAGAGTCTTGAACATACCATGGATTGCCAAAAAACCAAATAGGTCTGTCTTGGAGAGGGTGTAACTGAGTTTCTCCCTAGAGGCTAAATTTTGAAGCTCCTGCTCACATACTTTGGATACTTGGACAGGAGGGACTGGTTCTTGGAGAAGGACATCATGCTCAGAAGGTTGGAGAGACAGAGAGGAAGACCTAGGATGAGAGGGATTGATACAGTAACTGGGACAATGGGAGTTGGTGAGACTGGCTTAGGACAGGGCAGGCTTCAGAGCTGCTGTACATAGGGTCACAGATGACTCAAAGGCCCATAACAACAACAGTGACAATGTGAATGAAATACACATTATTTTTGGTGGTTGTTAGGTGCCGTCAGTTGAGTTCGGCACATAGCGACCCTATGAACAAATGATCTGAACCTTGTGCTATCCTTTGTCTTCCTCACAATCTCTGACACCTGAAACCCATTGCTGCAGTCAGTGTGTCAGCCCCCCTGGTTGAGGGTCTTCCTCTTTTTCGCTGTCCCTACATCCTCCCAAGTATGTGTCCCTCTCCAAGGAATAACTTCTCCTAGCAACAAGCCCAAAGTATATTAGATGAAGCTTCCTCATCTTTGTTTCCAAGAACTACCCTGAGTGCACCTTCTCCAAGTCATATCTATTTGTTCTTTTGGCAGTCTGTGAAAGTTCTTTTGGTTGATTTTGAAGTGTGTTAAATAATTGTTGTTGTTAGGTGCTGTTGAGTTGGCTCTGACTCATAGTAAGTCTATACAAATGAAGGAAACCTTGCATGATCTTTTGACATCTTTGCCAATCTCTACTGTGTAGAGAAGTTAGAGAAGAAATTTTTTGTTCTTAGTTGCTATTGTTTTAACTCCAACTTAGGATGATTAAGTGTAATCTCCCTCTCATAGCTGTCTAATTGAAACCTGACCCTCTAGATGATTTTCAGAGGCTGTAAATCACATGAGAGGAGATTGCCTATCTTTTTCAGAGCTCGTTTTGGATTTGAACTACCAGAGACAGTGCGATTGGCACAGGACAGAGCAGAGTTTAGGGCCGTTGTACATAGGGTCGCTATGAGTCACAGGCGACTCGACGGCACATAACAACAACAACAACAACAATGTTTGGGATGCCAGTGCAACATTATATCCACTGGAATATCAGAGAACCCTAAGATGAAAGACTTGCCTGACTTGAAATAAAAGCCAGGCTGTAGTGGTGAGAGTGCTGAATCTTAACCACTTGACCACTAGAAAGTGTCAAACCATCCACCGTGCTAATTATGCTAATTATGATAAGATGAAATATTACTCCATCCTGTGCCATTTGTGTTATTGTTAGTGTCTTCGAATCCATTTCAACTGTTATTGTATGGAGAACAGAACAGAAGATTTCAAAGAGCAACTTGATAATTTAAAGTAAAGCATTAAAAAGAAATGTACAAGGAACTATAGTTAGAAAACCAAAAGGCAAGAACATTTTTGACATTTCTCAAGCTGAAAAAACTGAACAACAACAACAACAAAAGCCTTGATTGCAGTAATGAAGGATTCTATGTGCAAAATCTTGAATAATGCAGGAAGCATCAAAAGGACATGGAGGGAATGCAGAGACACATTGTATGAAAAAGAACTGGTTGCCACTGAACCATTTCTGGAAGTAGTTTATGATCAAGAATCAATAGTACTGAAGGAAGAAGTTAAAACCGCATTGAAGACATTGTCAGAAAATAAGGCCCCAGAAATTGATGGAGTAGCAGTTATGTTTCAATACACACATGCAGCCCTGGACATGGCCACTCATCTGTGCCAAGAAATTTAGAAAATAGCTACCTGGTCAAGTAACTAGAAGAGACACATATTTGTTCTCATC